CAGCGAGCCCAGACCCAGAGGAAAGGGCACATGGTGTCCGCAGTGGCCCGGGAAGCTCACTTAGGGGTCACTGGAGGAAGGGAGCCCCGAAGGCCCGCAGGGAATCGCCGGGTGCGCTCCCAGAGCGGCGCACCTTCCGCCGCCGTCTCCCCCATGCCCGGCCCTCCAGAGCAGCCGGCTTCCTCCCAACAGTGGCAGCAGAAGGTGGGGGTGACGTGAGCCCCGCTTCTGTCCCACTGCCCCCGACCCGTGCCCGCTTTTTTGCAGAGCTCCACGGAGGGGTCGGCCATCAAGGACCACGTGCAGAAGCACACGCTGCCGCTGGTGGGGCACCGCAAGACCTCCAACGAGGCCCGGCGGTACGCGCGGCGCCCTCTGGTGGTCGTCTACTACGGCGTGGACTTCGGCTTCGACTACCGAGCTGGTGAGCGCCCCCCGGGCCCGGCTGCGGCTGGGGCTCTGGCGTTTAGGAGGAGTCCTGCCCCAGCCCCTTGCAGGCCGGTGGCCAGGGTGGGCTGTGTGTTTACGGCTTCGAGGTAGCTTGCCTTCCGTGGTGCTCCGTCGCTACCCTTCGTCCTTCCTCTTCCAGCACCAGGGGAGCTTGGTGCAGAGTCCAGAGCCCTCTCAGAGAGGGGGCCGCCAAAGCCTGGAGGCTTTCAGAGGCTGCAGAGCTGGGACCAGGCCAGCCCCGGACCCTCAGGCGGGCAGGGGCTTCTGTCACTGGGCTTTTGAGCCGGGCCCACCTGCTCACAAAGGTGGCTTTTCAGAACGGCTTCTCTCCCAAGTTAGGCGCGAGCTTGGTCAGAGAATCCGAGCCACAGACTCTTCTTGATCTCTGCGGCTCAGCTCACAGTGCTCGCTCCCATTTCAGCCACCCAGTTTTGGCGGAGCAAAGTCCTGGAGGTGGCCAAGGACTTCCCCGAGTACACCTTCGCCGTGGCTGACGAGGACGACTTCGCCACGGAGGTGAAGGACCTGGGGCTCAGTGAGAGCGGCGAGGACATCAATGCCGCCATCCTGGATGAGGGCGGGCGGAAGTTCGCCATGGAGCCTGATGACTTTGACTCTGACACCCTCCGGGAGTTTGTCAGAGCTTTCAAAAAAGGTGAGGCTTGGTCGCACCCCCTCGGCGCCTGGTCATTCTTCCCCTGGGCAGGCAGGGGGGCACCCGGTGCTCCAACCCCGTCTCCCCCACTCGCTTATTCTGCTGAGCCTGGCCCTGTGTTTCCTCTCCTATGGCTGAGGGATGGGGGTCAGACATGGAAGGTCTCCGTTCTTTTGCTTGCCTTTTCTTTTTGTAATTTAAAAAAAAAAAAAGGCAGGTATCTTGGAAATTTCAAGAAGGCTTATTTTATTTATTTTTAAATATTTTATTTATTTGAGAGAGAGCCAGCAGATGAGCTGGGGGTTGGGGGGGGGGCAGAGGGAGAGGGAGAAGCAGACTCCCCGTTGAGCGGGGGGCCCGACGTGGGGCTCGATCCCAGGACCCTGAGACCATTGACCTGAGCTGAAGGCAGGCACTTAATCGAGTGAGCCACCCAGGAGCCCCAAGAAGCCTTATTTTAAAAATACTTGAAACAGGCTTTTGGACCTAGAAATAAGTTTTGTATACATGGAAAACTTGTTTTGAGGCATTAGAGTATCTTTATTGATCTGGTTGAGCACAGTGGCCCAGTTTCGTGGCACAGGCCGAGTCGTGGGCAGAGCTTGTCCCGCCACCTGCCGTCTTCTCGGTGCTTCTGCCCACCGAGGCTTCCCGGCCCTGGCCACCAGCTCTCCCAGCAGCCCCTTTGCACTGGGTGGCACCTCTCCTGGGACAGCCTCACTGGATGGGACCCGGAGGCCCATCAGGCCTGGGGTGGGACCATCAGCATCCTCTCTGGCCTCTGCAGGGACTAGGGAGGTAGAAGGGGTGAGGAGACTAGAGGAATCGGGGTCATTGGGGAGGCAAGGCCCCACCTGGCCCTGGCACGTGTGACTTGCCCGTCCCCCTGCATGTCAGGCCTGGCCTCGCTGCCTGGTCCTGTCCGAGCCCCCCAGAGCCCAGGGCCTTCTCAGCACTCACACCGCTCCCCTGCTTGCTTTCCTCGGCAGGAAAACTGAAGCCGGTTGTCAAATCCCAGCCGGTGCCCAAGAACAACAAGGGGCCTGTCAAGGTCGTGGTGGGGAAGACTTTTGACTCCATTGTGATGGACCCCAAGAAGGACGTCCTCATCGAATTCTATGCACCCTGGTGCGGGCACTGCAAGCAGCTGGAGCCCGAGTATACCGCCCTCGGCAAGAAGTACAAGAACCACAAGAACCTGGTCATCGCCAAGATGGACGCCACTGCCAATGACATCACCAACGACCGCTACAAAGTTGAGGGGTTCCCTACCATCTACTTCGCCCCCAGTGGGGACAAAAAGAACCCAATTAAATTTGAGGACGGAAACAGAGATCTGGAACATCTGAGCAAGTTTGTAGAAGAACATGCCACAAAACTGAGCAGGACCAGGGAAGACCTTTGAAGGCCTCGCGTGAGGTCTGTGGTGGGCGGGAGGGACCAGACGCCGGAGCCCCCAGCAGCCGGTGTCCAGAGCCCTCAGCGAGCCGTGCACCTGGCGGGTCAGCGCAAGGGCAGGATCTCTTTGGTTTTTTAATTTTTTTTTTTATACTCTGGGGTTTCACCTCATGTTCTGAATACTGAATAGGTAAGAATGACTCCGTAGATTAGTCCAGATTTTTACAGAGGATACATCTATTTTTACCATTATTTGGGGTGTGATTTTTTTTTAACCTTCCATTTTCTTTAATAATGTATTTCTTCAAAACAGATAAGTTGAATTTCTTCTGTGTGAATGTTTTTTTCTTTTAATTTAAAATTTAAGAAAACATTTGCCAAATCACATTGATTTTTTTTTTTTGGCCTTTTATTTTACCATTGTCGGAGGACTTACTCGCTGGAGAAGATTTGACTGTCCATGTGCTTTAGTTTGCATTTCTTCCTGTACGGCACAAGGAACTGTCACCGAGCACTCTGCCAAGGATGACATTTCAGCCCGAACTCTGGGCCGCCACCCAGTCCTGAGAGAGGCAGCGTCTCTGCGCAGGACTGGGCGTCCCTGTGCCTTCTCCTTTCAAGCCAAGGACCGCGGGGCGAGGAGCGGCTCCCAGGTCCCCCAAACCCCGAGCCAGGTTCCAAGGCTCAGCCTTGGGCCAAGAGAGGCCCCTCACCTGGGATAGGCAGCCCCACCTCTTCGGAATCAGTAGTGCCTGAGGAGAGGTGACCTAGGGCACAGGTGGATGCTTTAGGGTGATGGAAGAGATAGGGTAGGCTGTCGTGATGGAATAAAACAATTACTGAAAATTAAGCTCCATAACTGTGTTAGAGAACATCTCCATCCTGGAGCCTTGGCTGAGTTGAGGACCTGGGCTTGGCGGGGAGGGCTGGCGGTCCTGTGGGTGCACGTTGCCTCCGACACCTGACCATCCAGGGGATGGGCTGTCCTCCTGACCAAGGTGGAGGGCATCGGAGGTCTCTGCTCCTGGTGTGTGGAGGTGAGCGGTGGCACAGTCCGGCGGGCTGCGGCAGGGCTGGAGGCTCTCGAGATGCCCCGAGCACTCCGGGGGCCTGGGAGGAGGGGGTGGGGCCCCGACACTGAGGTCCCGGGGACTCGTGGGTGACGGGAGCTTCGTTCCAGTGGTTCCGTTCACCAGCTCGTGCCGTCTCCACATCCCCTCTCCTGGCGCTCACCTGCTCCCAGCTTGACTGAAACACAAGTGAGGAGGGTGAACATTCTGGAGCTGGTGGCAGTTCCTTCAGCAGTAACGTGCGATTATCGCAGGGGCTGGCTGGGGGCAGGAAGCAGGTCTTGGGGGCGGCAGCTAGGCGAGCCTTTCCAGAGGATCTGCTTTCCAGATGAGTCAGGCCCAGGTGGACTGGGAGTTGTGGGAGGAGGTGGTTTGGTGAGTTCTCAGAGTGGTGGCCAGTGTGACAGGAGGCCTGCACCCCCCACTATGTCCTCCGGTGGGAGCACACGCGGGCCTCCCCTCAGGGACCCGATGCCAGGAGACTCGGGAGTGAAGGTGGGTCTGGGGCGTGAAGGCCTCCATCCGGCACCACCAGGAGAGCAAAGTGGTGCCTTTCCTGGGGCTTCCGGTCGAGTTGGGGAGATGTCATACAGTCTACACAAGGCCCCGAGGAAGAGCCCTGGGCTCTTGGAGTAGCACGTGGCCTCCTTTGAACTGAGGTGTCCAGAAAAGCCCTTCTTTCTCACAAGTGATGTTTGAGCTGAGACCTTGAGCTTGAGCCTGGCAAAGGGTAGGAGTGAGTGTTGCTTCTCAGTGTGGTCCTGGGCCCTGCAGCATGGCACTCCCTGGATGTTTGTCAGAAATGCAGAATCTCAGGTTGGCCCCCAGACCTAATAAACCGGAATCTACATTTTTTTTTTATTTTTAGATTTTATTTTTAAGTAATCTCTACACCCAGCGTAGGACTTGAACTTACAGCCCTGAGATCGAAGGTCGCATGCTCTACTGACCGAGCCAGCCAGGCGTCCCTCAGAATCCCAGGAGATCTGCATGCACGTTAAAGTTAGAGGAACACCAGGTAGAGGCCCTGAGGCAGAAGTCAAGATGCGTTCAGTTCTGAAATCTGGAAACCAAATTGCCAAGGTGTATCTTGACTGACGGATCTGGCCCCACTTTGACTGCAGAAAGTAGTTCCCCTGGGAGAGAACTGACCACCCCCCCACCGCCAGGTCGGTTAGGGAGCTCGTAGAGGGTGAAGGAGCCAGGCGAGGAAGCAGATTATCGTCCGTGTGACCGGGGCCGTGGTGAGGAGTGGGTTTGGGGGTGTGGGGGCCTGGAGGGCCACAGTGCCCCAGACGGGGAGCTGAGAGGAGGAGGAGGTGAACTTCCCATCGCGCTTGTGAGGGGACAGGCATCAAGCGGCAGGGCAGACGCTGTGGGGGGGGTGCTGAGGTTGGGGGGGCTGGAGGGGGGGCCTCTCGCAGGAAGTCAGGAGTTTGACCTTACCTGAGCATTCTGGTGGGGAACCACTGATGACTTGAAGCGAGAATAAGGTACAGCAATCAGATTGAAATTTTAGTAATGAGAGTGACAATTGATCCTTACCGGACACTCAGCAAAAGCCAGACCCCGTGTAGAGAAGTGTGGCCCGGTGGCGTGCCGCAGTGATCTGTGAGGCGGGTACTGCTGTGCTCATTTCTCAGCCGAAGAAAGGGCAGGAGGGGTCGGCTAGCCCTGGGCACGTGCAGAGCGGGCCTTGGACCTAGGCACCCCTAGGCACTGGGCGGTGGCCTCCCCCTGGTAGAAAACCCGGTCTGGTAGCAAGGGAGCTAGGGGGGCTGCAGGGAGATGGGCTGCATGAGGGGAACCGGCTCCAGCAGGCTAAGGAGCGGGGGCTCCAGGCTGATGGGAAGTTGAGGGTAGGTGAGGGGACCCCAGAAGCTGGTATGTCCTGCAGGTCTCTGAGCTGAGGTTTTATTACTTAATTAGGAAACGTCTCAAGCACAGAAACGAGAATTGTATCCTCAACGCCCTTTGCACCCCACCCACTTAGAACAAGTACCAAAAGTTTGCTGCATCTTCTTTACCTATGGATCCCCCTTCTTTCCTCGAATGACCTCTCACCCCTGCCCACTTGAGAGTGCTTTTCCTACAGAACCACACAGTAAGTAAGTGCCTTCCTTAGCACAGCTGCCAAAATAAAGGATTTCACATAGGACCCAGTCTGTGATCAGAGGTGCCCAACTGCCTCAGAAACGGCCCTTCACCGTTGGTCCGTGAGGCTCCTCGGCGCGCAGGGTCTGCGCTCCGGTCTGTCTTGTGTGCACAGCACCTGTTGGCTTTTCCCCGCGGCTTTGACGCAGCAGAAACAGTGACAAGGGATCAGATAAAGGAAGCCGTTGTTCGTGTCGCGTGTACAAAGTTTGAGGAATGTTTGACGTTCACTGTCCCGGTGGTGTATCTGGGAGGTACATGGAGCCCTGGAGAGATCTGAGCGTGGGTAGCCGTACAGAATCCTGAAGAATGAGCAGAGGCGCCACGCACTGGGTGCTTGCTGGGTATCCAGGACCTGGCGGGTGCTGTTACTAAAGCCCTAATCCAAGCTGACCCTACTCTTCAGCCGTGTGACTCTGGGCAAGTTACCTAACTCCTCTCGGGGCTGATGTTCCCATCTGGGGGATGAAGACCCCGCCTTTGCAGGGGAGCGTTAAGGGCCCGGGGCGATATCGTGTGCATGGGCTCAGCTCGTCTCAGGCACGCGGTGATCGCAGGTAGGGGGTTGCTGCTGAGTCCCGGGCTTGGAGTTGTCGTTAACAAAGGCACACTGCTCTTACAAGTGATTGTCTCTAACCCCGTGTGCGCCAGCTTCATGATGGGATTCCCGGTGCATCAAAGAGGCAGTTGGTGAACAGAACATCAGACACGAACGTGAAGCTTGGCGGAGCTCTGAAATGCTGAATTTCAGGACTTGCCATTTATTTATTTATTTATTTATTTATTTATTTATTTATTTATTTTTATTATTTTTTTAAACTAACATCTTTATGAAACTGAAAATGGTATGCATTCTTTTTTTTTTTTTTAAGACTTTATTTATTTATTTGAGAGAGAGAATGAGAGACAGAGAGCATGAGAGGGAGGAGGGTCAGAGGGAGAGGCAGACTCCCCGCCGAGCAGGGAGCCCGATGCGGGACTCGATCCAGGGACTCGATCCAGGGACTCGATCCAGGGACTCCAGGACCATGACCTGAGCCGAAGGCAGTCGCTTAACCAACTGAGCCACCCAGGCGCCTGAGGACTTGCCATTTATGTGGGAAATGCTCATCTCTTTATCTCTCTGGCCTGTTCTGATGGGCCAGGATGGGGCCACTGACTGTGCATTGTGCGGACAAGGTAGACCCTAAGTGGAGGGTTTGGGTCTGTTGGTGGATACAAAATGCAGATTCTTCATGAACCCCGGTGCTGGCCTATCTGGAATCAGATCCAGCAGGTTTGGAGCCTACTAGCAGTTTTCAGAAGTTCCCAGATACAGTCACATCTCCCGCTGAAATGTAGGCAGGACAGGTATCATGACCTCCATCACATAATGAAGGAGCTGGAGGTCAGAGAGACGAAGTCATTTGCCCAAAGCCATATGGCCAGTAAATTGGCAAGTCGGAACTAGAAGTCAGAACCAGTGTTCTTTCCAAGGCCCCAACATTTCCTAAGATGTGTGGGAAGAACATTTCTGAAGGAGATTAATAAATGCTCCATTAAAGACAAATTCTGTTAATAATTGGCTTGGGAAATACTAGAAATAAATACATACATACATACATAAAAGGTTAAATGGGGATCTTGTTGAAGGAGCTCTCAGAGCCTCCCTGAGTGTTCCAGGGACTCTGCGGGGAGGAACGGACTTGACCTGGCTTCTTCAGCACAAACCACACAGGCCCAAGGAGCTGCACGGTGACCTCCCCCCCAGCCCATTCCCCTGGGCCCCGAGGAAGCATCAATACCTCCCCAATCCCCTCTGTCCCCTGTCAATGTGGATGGGCCCTGGGGTGAAGGATGTGGGCCAGGAAGTGCCCTGGGAGCACAAGGACACACCTGACCCTGAGCCCATCACAGCACACAGCTTCCACGGCCAGTTACAGGTGTACCCACAGGTCTTCCGAAGAGCCTTTCTGCTGGGGGCACATAACTATGACAGTGTATCCTCTGGCACCTTGACTAAGGTAAGGCATCTCTCCTTTAAACCCATCCAGTTCCCACGTGGCAGTTGGCTGGCTCTGCCTGGCACGGGGCTTGGGAAAGCTAACAAGAGATGCAGGGCGGTGGGGGGCAGCCAGGGTGAGCACACAGTAGTGAAACACTGAATGAATGAATGACCAGATCCCTGGGTCGACCAGGCTTGAGGACCGGGCAGGCCAGGGCTCCGTGGTCCCCTCCTCCCCTCCAGCTCCCACAGCTCACCCTGCCCTTGGCGCGGCCCCAGAGCCAGCACAGTTCCCCATTCACCGTGTTCCCACCTTCGATTATGGAGATACGGTGGCAGAGAGAGCGGGGCGGACAAAGGACCACTTGTTCGTACAATGGAGAAGGGGCCTTTTAGAAAGTGGCGGCTATTGCTTGCAGAAGGAATCCTGTGGGAAGGGAGCCCTCTGTATTCTTTCCAGCTTTTCTTATATATAAAAAGGAAGGGTGAGCTCAGCTCAGGTTGGATTGAAAACGGATCCCTCGATCACAGGTGTATAGGAATCATGATCCTCCCTCTCCCCGCCCGCTACAAGAGTGTCCTGCCTGGAAATCACAGATAACTGGGGATGGCTGGAGACTTGAGGGAGCTTCAGTGTCGGAGGTCAAACTCCAGTGTTCAAGGGGCCTGACCGGTAAGTGAACTGCCTAGGGAGCGGTGATGACCAACCAGGGCACACTTTTGATTCTGTCCCTCCTGAAGGGGGTGCTTGTTGCCCATGGGAATCTGGCCCTGCTGTTGCTGTCCTGATGTTTTTTTAAAAGAAAAGCCAGAATTTCAGTGTGCAATCTTCCAGTTTGTCAATATTGGATCTACTTCTGATTATGGTAGCAATACTATGTGGGCCAGAGAAAAGGCTTCCGAGGGCCGGATTCAGTTAGAAACTGCAGACCTCAAGAAAACCCCACTTTGTTTTTCCTGTTTTATAATCACAAGAAACAAACTAGCACAGAGGATGCCCTGTGTGTAACAGAGACTTCAGAATCAAGTTTGTTCGAAAAAGCTGGAGATTTCAGTCTGGTGTTGGAATTTGGGCTGAGTTTGGTTGTGGCGGTGGATTGCTGGGACAGGGTATGGTCCATGCTTCACATTTGAACACAGGAGAGCTGCTGGGCCAGGCTGGAGCGCTCCATGGGTCCCCTCCCCCAGATGGAGTCGTGCTGGTCAGTCTTCCTAGTACCCCTCTGCCCCCGTGGGAGCACCCCCACAGGGAGACCTGCTCTACCCCATTCCTCACCACCACCTTTGCTCACCCCAACACTAGTTCCCTGAGGGGCTGGACTAGCAGGGCTCCATGCCCACCCGAATATGCTGTTCCTGCCAAAGCCTTGACCCTTCTCACTCCCTCCTTTTTAGGAACCTAAGGCTAGAGAAGAGATAGGTTTGCCCAAGTCACAGAGGTGGCCCGGGGCACTTCCAAATACCCCAAACCACAGAGGGTTAGAAGCTAGTGTCAGTGTGTTCTATTTCAAGGCCCTGGGATCTCCAGGCTGTCCCTCATTGCTGATTTAGCACAGGGTATCGACTCTGCTGTCCCCTTCGCTGCCACCAGCCCAGGCTCCTGATGCCATGACCTCGTGGCTGCCAGGCTCCCAGCCTCCTCACATGGCCCTGCGATTGTCACTCCGGTCACAGACTGAAGTGTCTCCACCTCCCCTCTGTCCTTTCTTCCCGGCTCTCCTTCCTCCAGGTGGAGAGGGAACCATGTTCTTTTCAGAAAGGGTCTGCTTGCGATACATGGTTGTCACCTAGGAGGTCCAAGAAAGGAGGCCTGGCTCTTCGAGGAAAGTTCCTGAGTCCAGCGGCTGGAGTGAGGGCAGAGTCCTAGCCCCACGCGCACCAACATCAGCGGATTGGCGGGTGGCAGCACCTTGTGTGGGACTGTGGGGAGAGGGGTGGAGGCAGGCCCTGGAGTTTTGAAGGATTAAGAGGAAACCTGCCAAGCCACAGACGAAGGTTCTCAGGGAAGAGGGGCCCCCAGGTTTGCGTCCACGAGGCCACGAGAGCCAGGACTCAGGGCTCCAGGCCTGGCTTGTGCCTGGGAGTAGCAGTCACCTGCACCCGAGGGGCTGAGAACGGCAATCTGGGGGCCTCAGCGGGGAGCTCCTAGGGGGCCCATCCTCACTCCTGGGTCCACACCAGCCCAGGCGCGGATCCGTTCAGAAAAAGCAAATCCAAGTGAGAGCCAGTGCTATGAATGGGAGTGTTTGTGTCCCCCTAAAACCCACATGCTGAAGCCTTAACCCCCAAGGTGATGGCCTTTGGGTGGTGGGGCTTCCGGGAGGAGCTAGGTTTGGATGAGGTCTTGGGGGCGGGGCCCCATGATAGGATTATGTCCTTCTGAGAAGAGGAAGAGACCTGGGCTTTCTCTCTCCCTCGTGTGAGGACACAGGGAAAAGGTGGCCATCCACAAGCCAGGAGAGAGTCTTCACCCAGAGCTGAATCGGTTGGCGCCCTGATCTTGGACTCCCAGCCTCCAGAACCGTGAGAAACACATGCGTATAGTTTAAGCCCCAGCCCGTGGTGGTTTGTTACAGCTCCCGCGTCAGCTAAAACAGCCGGTATCGCTGGTCTGTGCACGACCCCCAGGCTAGGGCCCACTGAGGCCCGCAAGGGTCCGCCAGCTGGGTGCCACGGACCCCCCTGGGGCTGTAGAAGCCCTGGCCGGGCTGTCTTTTTATTTCATTTTGTTGTTGACAATTTAGTTTTATTTTCCCAGTTCCAAGGCAGCTGGGGCTTAAGGAGAGACATTTGATTTCCAACGAACTCTCCTGGTGGGTGGCAGTGGGTCATAAGAAGACTTCTCTGTATACCAGTTTCTCATATTCATACGATTTTAAGTGTCACCCCCCCCCGCCCCCTGCATCACCCCAGTTTTGTTGTTGTTCACTCATTTCCCTGTGACCCAGGGCAGTAACAGGTGGGGAGGCAATGAGTGGCTCAGACACAGGAGTGTCAAAAAGGTTTGCAGCCTAGCACCTCCACCGTTTACTTAAGATAACATTAAGAAGCGACTCTGCATCACCCCCACGGACCTGCCCCCGACAGGTGGGCCCTCCCTCCCTGGTCCAGCCCACCTGGGGAGGAGGGAGAGGAGGAAGGAAGGGAGGAAGGACGGACCCGCCCCACTTTGTGGGGTTGATGAGACTGCAAGTTGAAGGGTCAAGGAAGCACAGAGCTTACAGATGGCCCCAGGGGAGGGTTCAGAGCCCTCAGGACAGGGTGGGAGGTGACAGGGAAGCAGGGAGGTCAGTGGATGGGCTGTCCTGGGCCAGGAATCGTTGACTGGCTGCTCCAGACCCAGCCTGCCACTGCCCAGCTAGTTACTAACGGGGACAACCCCCAAACCACTTCCAGCCTCGTTTGTTTCGACTGTAAGACCAGAAAAAACCCTGCCAATCCTACACCTTCACAGGCTTGTCATGAGGACCAAATCGAATGGCTATGGTTCTTTGAAAGCATTTTTTAACATTGAGGTAGAATTCACAGAACATAAAATTAACCATTGTAAGTGTACAATTCCGTGGTGTTTTGTACACGTGCACTGTTCTGCAACCACCACCTCCATCTGGTCCCGACACGTGTCATTCACCTGGAAAGGCAGCTCCATGTTCTTTAAGCGGTCATTCCTGCAGCGCCTACCAACCACCAGTCTGTGCTCCGTCCCTATGGATTTACTTATTCTGGAATCATCCACGATGGACTCAGCCACGGTGTGACCTTTTGTGTGCAGCTCCTTCCCCCTAGCGTGATGTTTTCACGGTTCATCCATGTGGTAGCAGGTGTCCTTCTTATGGTTGAATGATTTTCCACTGGAGGGACATCACGTGCTTTGGCGATCCACTCGTGCTTTGTTGGACGCTCAGCGTGTTCCTGTGTTTCAGCGGCTGTGAAAAGTGCTGCTGGGAATGGGTGTGTGTGTGTGTGTGTGTGTGGATTTGAGTGCCTGCTTGCAACACCGTGGGGTATCTGCCTAGGAGTGGAGCTCCAGGGTGTGTGGTAACTCACGTTTAACTCTCTGGGAACCATCACACAGTTCAGTTGAAAGCATTTTTGTGAAGTCAGGAATGTGCGAGGAAGTGTATATCACCTCCTCGGTCACCTTCCCCTGGGCACACTCTGGTCTGCCATGTTGTCTTTTTAAAAACTGTCCCCTGGGCCTTGGCTACCACCTGACCAGAGCACACCCCAGAGGAGCAGTGACAGCCAACTTCTGTGTAACTATGCTAGTGTTTGCATTTTTACTTTGTGAGATTCTTTTACCTGATATCTGCTCAGATTTTTTTTTTTTTTAGTTTTTAACTGAAAAGGGGAACTTCAGCTCTGTTCATTTGTGTCCGTTATATTGTTAGTTTGTATCAGAAACGGAGGCACAAGCAAGGTAGGTAACTCGTCCAAAGACACATTGCTAGTAGATGGTCAAATCTAGGACCCAGATGATGTGATAAGAGCCCACGTTGTAAATCTCTGGTGCCTTCCTGATTCTCACAGCATATTGCCCATGGTGCCATCAATCTAGGGCCATCTTCATTCACATGGTTGACGAAAACAGGTTAGACAGGATCTGGCCAAGGAACAAGCCCATGGGACAGCACCAGCGCCCCTCTCCCAGGGTGGCATTAATCCCTACCAGCAACCTCTGAGCCTGATTATGGAATCACTTCCAGCCGCCTGAACCCAACCCACACAAAGGCGCAGAAAGAGATGTAATCAGTTGAGTCAAACACCAATCCTAAAACAGAAATTAACTATTTTGGTGCGTGAGTTTTTCTTGTTAATTTCAACTTGGCTCCCAATATGTATCTACCTCCTTAGTAATCCATTCTAGAATCTTGCTAGAAAGCAACAGTGATTCAGAGGTTGTCTATAATTTATGAAACTCTTACTCTCTTTTCTCCTCTTGAAAATTAAGACAGTTCCCTATGTCTGGTTTCCTGGGATTGTTCATTCTCCTTAATCTCATTTATTCATTCACTCAACATGTTTATTGAGCACCTGCTACGTGCCAGACATTGTACTAGGCTCCAAAAGGAATCAGACAGGGACTCTGCTTTCACGTCAGCACCCAGGGGTGTGTTTTGTCTGGGTGGGGAGCTGCCTGCCCTCCTGCCCCCCAGGACTGCACTTTTACAGTTGGGTCTGCTCTTCCTAGGGAGCAAAACGGAGCTCCGAACTCTGCTGCCCGCTACCTTCTGTTCCAGAATATTCCTGTCCTTGTTGCTCTAGATTCCTCCCTGCCGTCCTCTTGCTGGTCTTTGCATTGAGGTCGAACTTTGGGTCTTTCTGTCTTTCTGACACTTTTACAGAAATCTTTTCCACTTGCCTTCATCATTGCTTCTGACCTTGGGCTTCTGTCCTTTGTCCCTTTAATTTTTGAAGTTCTAAGCAGCATCCAAGGGTTTTGGGGTGTTTCAGATGCCTTCTCCTCCTGTTCCTGTAGTGGTTTCTGTTTTTTATCAGTTGGGGTTTTGAAGGAGGAGGATGGGGATCTTGGGCAGTGGGAGAGGCATCGCTGCCCTTCTGAAGGGAGCAGACTCTGCTAGGATGGAAGAGCGGCTTCTTCCAGGGCGTGGAGCTCTGCTGGGGGGGGAGGGTGGGGGTGGTTACAGATGCAGGGAAGCACAATCTGCTCCA